ATAAGCTGTTCTTTGAATTTCTGGTAGAATTCTGCACTGAGGCCATCTGGACCTGGACTTTTTTTGGTCGGGAGACTTTTGATGACAGCTTCTATTTCCATAGGGGTTATAGGTCTATTTAAATTGCTTATCTGTTCTTGATTTAGTTTTGGCAAATGATAGCTGTCCAGGAAGTCATCCATTTCCTTTAAATTTTCGAATTTTGTGGAGTACAGGTTTTCAAAGTATGACCTAATGATTCTCTGGATTTCCTCAGAGTCTGTTGTTATGTCCCCCTTTTCATTTCTGATTTTGTTAATTTGCGTGTTCACTCTCTGCTGTTTGGTAAGTTTGGACAAAGGTTTGTCTATCTTGTTGATTTTCTCAAAGAACCAACTCTTCGTTGCATTGATTCTTTGTATTGTTTTCCTGGTTTCTACTTTATTGATTTCAGCCCTCAATTTGATTAATTCCTGGCGTCTACTCCTCCTGGGGGAGTTTGCTTCTTTGTGTTCTAGAGCTTTCAGCTGTGATGTTAATTCTCTGGTATAACTGTTCTCCTGTTTCTTCATGTGAGCACTTAGTGCTATGAACTTCCCCCATAGTACTGCTTTCAAAGTGTCCCATAGGTTTGGGTATGTTGTGTCTTCATTCTCATTGAATTCGAGGAAGTCTTTAATTTCTTTTTTTATTTCCTCTTTGACCCAGGGATGGTGCAGTTGAGCATTATTCAATTTCCATGAGTTTGTAGGTTTTCTGCAATTTGTGTTGTTGTTGAATTCTAATTTTAAGGCATGGTGGCCTGATAAGATGCATGGAGTTATTCCAATTTTTTTGTATCTGCTGAGGTTTGATATGTTGCCAAGTATGTGGTCGATTTTTGAGAAGGTTCCATGTGGTGGTGAGAAGAAGGTATATTCTTTTTTATGTGGATGAAATGTTCTATAGATATCTGTTAATCCCAGTTGGGTCATTACTTCTATTAGACCCTTTGCTTCTTTGTTGAGTTTCTGTCTGGTATTCCTGTCTAGTGGTGAGAGTGGTGTGTTGAAATCTCCCACTATAACTGTGTGGGGCTTTAGATGAGATTTAAGTTCTAATAATGTTTCTTTAACGAATGTGGATGCCTTTGTATTTGGGGCATAGATGTTCAGGATAGACACTTCATCTTGGTGGGTTTCACCTGTGATGAGTATGTAATGACCTCCTTCATCTCTTTTGATTGATTTTATTTTAAAGTCTAGTTTATTAGATATTAGGATTGCTACCCATGCTTGTTTCTTGGGTCCATTTGATTGAAAAATTTTTTCCCAACCTTTAACTCTCAGGTAATGTCTGTCTTTGAGGGTGAGGTGTATTTCTTGTATGCAGCAGAAGGAAGGGTTCTGTCTTCAAATCCATTCTGCTAGTCTGTGTCTTTTTATGGGTGAGTTAAGGCCGTTAATATTGAGGGATATTAATGACCATTGATTGCTCATCCTTCTTCGATTTGCGATGGTTGTTGTTGGTGGAATTATGTGTGGAATTTCACCCCTTTGTTCTTTTGGCTGTTGGTAGAGAGGGATTCTCTAATGCTTATGTTTTTCTGGTTGTAGTTAGCTTCCTTGGGTTGGAGTTTTCCTTCCAAAATTTTCTGTAGGGCTGGGATAGTGGACACATATTGCTTGAATCTAGTTTTGTCATGGAATATCTTGTTTTCTCCGTCTATAGTGATTGAGAGCTTTGCCGGGTATAGTAGTCTGGGCTGGCATCCATGGTCTCTTAGTGTAGGTAGAATATCTATCCAGGACCTTCTGGCTTTCAGAGTTTCCATGGAGAAATCAGGTGTAATTCTGATAGGTCTGCCTTTATATGTTACTTGACCTTTTTCCTTAGCTGCTCTTAATATTCTTTCTTTATTCTGTTTGTTTGGGGTCTTGATTATTATGTGGCGAGGGGATTTTTTTTTGTGGTCCACTCTATTTGGTTTTCTGTAGGCTTCTTGTACCTTCATTGGCATGTCTTTCTTAAGGTTGGGAAAGTTTTCTTCTATGATTTTGTTGAATATGCCTTCTGCCCCTTTGAGGTAGATTTCTTCTCCTTCTTCTATACCTATTATTCTTAGGTTTGGTCTTTTCATGGTGTCCCATATTTCCTGGATCTTTTGTGTTAAGGATTTGTTGGATTTAAGGTTTTCTTTGGTTGATAAATCCATTTCTCCTAGTGTATCTTCAACACTTGAGATTCTCTCTTCCATCTCTTCTATTCTGTTGGTAATGCTTGTATTGGTAGTGCCTGACTGTTTGTCCAGCTTTTCTATTTTCTGCCTTTCTTCAGATTGTGTTTTTTTAATGTCTCTATTTCAGTTTTCAACCCTTGCAGTGTTTGCATTGCTTCTTGCAATTTTCTGTTTATCTGTCGTCCGTTTGTTGCCTTTTATGAATTTTTTGGTTTGTTCTTTCTTCCATTTCTTGCATTTTTTGGTTTGCTTTTTGTTCCATTTCTTGGATTTTGTGCTTTGTTTCTTCTTCCATTTCCTGCCTTTTTTGGTATGTTTCTTCTTCTAATTCTTGCATTTTTTGCTTTGTTTTTTCTTCCATTTCTTGCATTTTTTTGCTTCATTTCTTCTTCCATTTCCTGCCTTTTTTGGTTTGTTTTTTCTTCCAATTCTTGCATTTTTTGGTTTGTTTTTTCTTCCATTTCTTGCATTTTTTGGTTTGTTTTTTCTTCCATTTCTTTGAGGGATTTTCCAATATCCTCTTTTAGGGCCTCTATCATTTTCATGAAAGTGCTTTTAAGGTCGTTCTCTTCTGCTTCCTTCGCATTGGAATGTTGGGGTCTTGCTGGTGTGGAGTCTCTAGAATCTGGCGGTGTCATATTTGTTTTTCTGTTGCTGACTGTGTTTTTGTATTGTCTCTTTCCCATCTCTTCTTCTAGTGGGTGCAGAAAGAGCCCCTTACTGGTCTGGGGACCAGAGTTCCCTTTTGGTGGGTGCTAGCAAGTCCAATAATCTGGTGGTTCTTCTATACCTTGTCCAAATGCTGGTCCATGGGTGGAGAAGAAGAACAGGAATCTGGGGCGCTTAGGCTCCTACCTGGTCCCCTGGACCCTATGCTGGGTCCTGTTGTACCTGATCCAGAACAGCTACTCCCCTGGTCTCCCTGGCTCCTCTAGTTTCCTGGTCTTGTTGGTGGGAGAGAAGATCTGGAGTCTGGGGTGCTTGGCTCCCTCCGGGACTGGGAGCTCTGTGCAGTTCCCAGGCGATCTGCAGGCACTGGAACACAGGCCGGGAAGCCGGCCTGTTTACCTGATGCTGCCGGAGGGACCTCTTTTCTCTTTTTATGATCCTTTTACCTAATTAAAAAAACCTTCTGCTTGAACTCTGTCGCAGGACTTTCTACGATTTTTCTCATTGATTTTATTTTGATTTACAAGTGAGAGAGGAACATGCCAATATCGTCAAAATAATAATAATAGTTACCCAAATTATGTTTGAATTACTGATAAGAAAGCAGTAAGAGGGGTATCTTATTTCCCATACTTCCTGTCTCCTAGTGTGGTCTGGCATTTTCTAATAGAAAGTCCTTAACAGTTTCTTGTCAGAATGATGGAGATTGTGGTATTGGCTGTTGGTACCACCCAGCCCCTGAGAAATTAAAAAATGGAGGCATATTCTTCATTACAAATAGCCAGCTATATAGCTTGGGATGTTTCTTGCCAGTTTTTGTTAACTTTAAATTATCCTATCTACTTTTTTTGCCTTTGGGCTTTTTCCTTTCCTTACTTCTGTATGTCTTACCTTACTATCACACTTACTCTGTTGCTGGCTGTGTGACTGGCCCCTTATGTCCTCCTCTCCTTGTCCTCTCGCTCCTGCTCTCTCTCTCTCTGTCTTTCTCTTTCTCCTTTTAATTTATACTCTCTGCCTGCCACCTTCGCCTATCCTTTCTCCTTCCTAGCTATTGACATTTCAGTGCTTTATTAGAACATAAGATGTTTTAGACAGGCAAAGAATCACAGCTTCACAGAGTAAAACAAATGCAACATAGGAGAATGCAACACATCTTTGCATCATTAAACAAATGTTCCACATCATAAACAAACGTAACACATGTTAAAATAATATTCCACAACACAATGGATAAAATGAAACCAGGGAAGTTCATCTATAGACCTCATACTCACAAAAGGATAGTCCTAACAGATGAAAGAAATCTGCCCTTTCAGCAGATTTGGGAACGGCTAAATCCTAAGAGACACAAGGAATGGAGATACACAGGGATGGAGACACACAGGAAATACTTGTAGTATATCCAGAATTTTTAACCGCATTTGCTTTTCTATCCTGTGTCAGGGTTTCTGCATCCTGCTGTGCTCCAACTGCTACCCAGACTCTGTCTGTATCCATGGACTGCTGGGGATGTTCCATAGCTGAGAATACATGGTTGACACTGCTGTCTTAGTACAGGAGCTGACAGGAATTGACTGGCTCCTGTCAGAAACCCTTATTCTCCTCTGGTCCTCAGTCTAGATTTTGATGCTGTGTTCTTTTGCATGACTGTCTTGAGTCAGCTGAATTGCACAAAACTTTGATCTCTTAGAGTATCTGTGTGTGTCATTAGGAAGCTGAGGTTTTTTCCCTTCAGGAGAAACAAGTGCTTGATCCATGCTTTTGTCCTTTGAAGAGAGAGCAGCATTGTAGATTGAGAAATGAATGACATGTAAAGACAGTGAAGACTACAAAGATGGATCTTAGTGTCACTTTGTAAACTTCCTCAAGTTTACTAAGCCTGCTTACTCTATGCTTCAAATAGATGTGACAGCTACACCTCTTTGGATGGTTTTTGAAATTAACAAAGGAACCTGATTAAAGTAGTTTAGATATCATAATATATAACAAAATAATAAGTTCATCATTACTGCTCTCAGATATAAAGAAGAAATTTTTAATGATGTGTTGAAATTATGAATTTTTAGAAGGAAGGGACAGTGAATGTACTGAATAAACTTTGACATTATTTTTTGTGTATGTTTAATTACAGATGTGCTACTGAAGCATACTTGGCAAACCAAGGCATTGATATCTCATCATGGGGCTTCTGGAAGAATTATGTGGCCTTGGGTTGTATAATGATTATCTTCTTATCAATGACCTATGTGCAGTTGTTACATCATAAGAAAAAGAGATGTTTTTAAATCACTCTCCCACTTTCTTTGAATTAATCTGACATTTGAAAAAAAATAAAACTTTTCTGGCGGCCATTGTCAGTGGAGCAGCAGGTAGTACTTGAATTTCAGGAGTCTGGCCCACCAGATTGGAAGGCACTGATGGGTGAATCTTGGATAGGCAAGGCCCTGAGGGTTTGCTTCACAATGTTTCTTTACATATTTGGCATTGCCATTTTTCTCTGGTAGCTGGCATGGTGTGAATGGGGGATGAGAGATCCCCACTGCGTTTAATATAAATGTGATATTCTCATGGAAATATCCTATTCTACTGGGCATTGTTACCTGTGGATTATTATGAAGATGATTTCCTACTAAGCAATACTATTTAACCAAAGTTATGATTTTATACAATAACAGTGATAGTTGAAATAGAATTTTGATGATTAAGGGTATTTTACCAAATGAAGTGAGGGATTATGATAGAGGTTAGTTTAGTGGGAAAATTAATACAGGTAAAGGTGGGATATGGTGTTTCCTCCACTGCTGATAAAGCAGGGGCTGCAGAGGATAGAAAAATAGGACCAAGTAAGTGTCACAAAGTGAGGACTTATGAGTTTCCTTGAGGAACCCTTTAGACTGTTTTTTTTAGGTTAATGATTAAGAAAAACAATCAAATCCCAGGAATTAGCTCAAGTTCTTTTTTATATTGGGAATTGTGTTCACAGATTTCATTGTGCATCATAGATAAAACAAAACTTTAATAATATTTCATGTAACTACAAAACAAAGAATTGGATTGTTGGTTATGATAATTGGGCAGAACTCTAAAAATGAAAAGTGAAATTAATCACCTGATCTTCTGGCAATTATAAAAACTACTGCCTATGTAAATGGTTATGGCTAAAAGGCTCAGAAGTCTAAAAGATAAATGTTCAAATGTATATAGGTTCTTGGGAATATTTTGCTTTTTACCTGTAATATGTAAAATGATTAATCATGTAAGGGAAATCAGAGACATGTTTTTTTTATTGTATTCATTGTAATCATTCACTTAAAAATTCAATGTAACTAAACTGTAATTTTTATATTGCTTGAAAAATTCTGCTGGGTTATATTAGCTGTAAGGAAAAAGTAAGGAAGTTAGAAGGAAGACATCAGGAAGTAGAGGAGAAGGAAGTCATCAGGAGAAAGAAGAGAAACATCAGGACAGAGCAGAAAAATGGTAGCGCAGAACAAGAAATGAAGACAATAATAAAATGAAGAACTAAGTTTGTTCATCAGAAAATCCCTAGTGTGTCTGTTTGTCTGTCTAGTATTTCATCTGCTCTGCATCTCTGGTTTCTGTAACCTGGTGAATATGTGTCATTTGTCAGCACCATAGGTGAGATCCTGACATATTGGAGGTGTGTGTGTTATGTGTGAGAGAGTAGTGTGTGAGTGTGTGTGTGGTATGTGTGTGAGAGTGTATGTGTGCATGTGTGTGTATGTGAGTGTGTGTGTATGTGAGAGTCTTTATGGTGTGAGTGTGTGTATATGTGAGAGAGTATGTAGGTGTATGTGTGTGGTGCGTGCGTCTGTGTCTCTGAGTGTGCACATGTGTGTGTCTGTGTGTAATTGTATGTGGTATGTGTATGAGCATGTGCAAGTATGTGTGTGTGAGTGTGGTGTGTGTGTGTCTATGTATCAGTGTGTATTTGGTGTGTGTGTGTGAGTGTGTGTGTGTGAGAGTATGTGTTTGTGAGACAGTGTGGTGTGTGGTGTGTGTGTATGTGTGTGTGAAAGTGTTTGTATGTGTGTGTGTGAGTATGTGAATATGTATGTGTGTGTGTGAGTATGTGAATGTGTGTGAGAGTATATGTGTGTATATGTGTGTGTATGTATGTGTGTGGTATGTGTATGTGAGCGTGTGTATGATAGTGTGTGTATGTGTGAGAAAGTGTGTGGTATGCTGTGTGTATGCATGTGTGTGTGTGTGTGTGTGTGTGTGTGTTCATACTCTTATTCCCTGGTCTCACCTTCAATTCCTGGTTTCCATGGCAGCAAAGCTTTTTTTCTGTGTAAATCCAGCCAAAAACAAGCAACTGGGATCTTAGGTTCTATGGTGCAAAGTTTTCTACAATTGTTTAAAGAAATGTGATTCCAAATTATTATAAAGGTTCACACTCACACGCATGGACAAATGCTACATCCAGCATCACCCAGAAGAGATTCCCATGTAATGAACTGTGATGAGTGCAGAGACTCATGGCTGCTCAAGAAACCGGAGTTCAGTGACACTTGAGTGCTTCACCCTAAACAGGACACAAATGCTACCCTCTCTAAAGCTTAGAGCTGTGTGGAAGAGGGCTGTAGGGATACAGGAGCCAGAAGATGAGAAGAAAGTATGGAAATGCTATATTGTGGGCATGACACAAATAGTTATTGCAACCATGGTCTGTCTCACAACATCTACGGCTACCTACACAAGATGGAGTCTCTCATCAGCACAGTAAGGGTCAGAGAAGGACTCAAAGGGACCACACTCCCTTCTGCTGAACTATTGCTACTGATAGACAGCCAGTCACCGATTTCGTACTTACACTCACAGGTGATCCAGCTAGACTCCAGTGAATACTCTAAATTAAACTCAGTGGATCACAAGATAATACCCAAACATACAAATGTGAGAAAGGGATTCATACAGAGGGGCATTTGAAGGGAAATAAGAAAGGTGGAGGGAGTGAGAAAGGCTGAAATACATTTTATACATATATGGAATTGTCAAATTTAAAAAATACGAAGATAAAAAAGGATTCTTTTGTGTACAGTATGTAATGAAGACTTTTTCCTGTTTAGTTTCTTTCATACTGTAAATAAGCAATGGTTAGTTGTCTTTTAAAGTTCACAAACTAAATTCTAAATAAAAGGGTCTAAATTCCCAGCTCCATGAATGATTGTTGCATTACAGAATGAACTATACTCATATCTATATTTACCAGTAAAGGTATATGTTCTATTGTTGAATTGTTATTTTAATCTCACCTAACACATTGAATACAATTCCCGTAACATACTGGACTTTCGTATGTTTTATAAAAATGCTGCTAGAAGGACAGAAAGTCAGACTGCTACAGGGATGTGGCTTCTGAAAGACTCTCACACTCCAGAAATGGCCCCACATTTGTGTACATAATGTCATCGCTGAGTGGACTCCTACATGTTTAATTAAAAAAAAACAAGAGAGAGAGAGAAAGGGAGAAAGAGAATGCATTTGGACTGACAGCTAACGTTATTAAGTATTGCATGTTAGTTCATCTCATAGATAATAATCATGAGAGGCAATCAATCAAATTATTTGACCTGGAAAAGGAGAACTTGTCCTAGAAAACTTTACATTCTTTATGCTTTTACATCTACATCTTTGCAGTGAGAACATAACGTATCATCCACCAAAGAAATCCATCATGAGTCATTATCTGATCCATAAGAAATGTACTGATTCTGTTTTGAAAGTATGGTTCTAAAATATGCTATAAAAACCTATGTTTCTTCTAAGGTTAAAAAAATCAATAAACTGTATGTGGTGGTGCATGGTTACAGTGTCTTCAATTGGGATTTGGGAAGATGAGGAGTTCAAGGCCATCCACAGGTAGACAGTATGTTTGAGGGTACCCTGAGACACAAAAGACTACCTCAAAGCAAAACAAAAACAAACAAATCACACACATAATGAGTAACCATTAAATATCTTTGATGAGTTCATTAAGAAAGATCTTTGAATGATGATGTCTTTGTTAGAATTTCTATTGCTCTATTGCTGCAATGAAACACCAAGACCAAAAAAAAAAAGCAAGTTGGGGAGGAAAGGTTTTAATTGGCTCATACTTCTATGTGACTGTTCATCACTGAAGGAAGTCAGAGCAGGAACCTGAAGTCAGGAACTGATGCAAAGGCAATGGAGGTGTGCTGCTTACTGGCTTTCTCATAATGGCTTGCTCAACCTGCTTTCTTACAGAACCCAGGACCACCAGCTCAGGGATGGCACCACTCACAATGGCTGGGCCCTCCCTGTTGATCATTGACTAAGAAAATTCCTTACAACTGAATGTTATTTTCACACCAGAGGCTCCTTCTTCTCTGATGTCTCTAGTTTGTGTCAACTTGTCATAAAACCAGCTATAGCAGGTGGATACTTCTCTTTGGTGATATAATGGATCAGGAGACTTGACTGGGACTTTGGCTATCTGTAGCTGCAGTAAAAAGACAGGGTTCTTATGACATGAAATGGCTCTTGTGGGTGACTGCTCTCCTACCTGGACAGCACTGCTTTCTGGGCTCTAGGCTCCATAGAGCATCCCATGCCAACCCCATCCCCATCGCTGCCCCAGCAACTGGTCAGTAGGTAAGAGTACTTTGGGCTTGCAGTTCCACCACCTCTGACACCCATGGATTATGCAAACTTCAAGTCCCACTCTTCCCCACAAACCCACAGAAATCATCATCCTTCCCACACCCAACCATCCCCTGTGGCATCAGCAGCCCCAAGAGACACAGGTACCACCTACAGCAATTGGAGGAAGAAGATTCTCCCTCCTGGACAGCCCTGCTCTCTGGGCCCTAGGTCTCTGAGAACACCAAGTGCCCATCCCCCTACCATTGCAGCCCCAGAAACTGGTCAGCAGATAAGAACCCTGCAAGCAGGTCACTCTACCACCACCCCAACACCCATTGGACACTGCAAACTGTAAGTCCTACTCCACCCCAAAAACCACAGCACACATCATCCTTCCTACACACAACCATATTCCATGGCATCAGTGGTCCATGAAGACACAGGAACCACCTACACTGATTGGAAGAAGAGCCCCAGCAGCCAGTCAATAGAGACCCCTGGAAGTGTAGGGACCACCTGCATCTATTAGAGGACGAGATGTGTAGACAATAGGGTAAGAATACACTCAACAACATAAAGAGCAATATGGCACCACCAGAACTTAGTGGTTCTACAACAGCAGGATCTGAATATCCCAACTCAGAAGAAGCAGAAGAAAATACCCTTAAAAATAACTATGATGATAGAGGCCCTTAAAGAGGAAATGAGAAAATCTCTTAAAGAAATC